AAGACAGTTTTCATCTTTCTTTTCTAGTTTATTGAAGTTTTGGATATGGAATAACTATAAGAGGACAATTTATAAATTTATTCTTTCATTAAAAAGCAGGAAATGTTGAAGTAGTATGATTATTTTAACTTTCAGTTGTATATCGGTATGGTGCATATATGTAATTCTTTATTACATTTACATTATTTATTGCATTAGCACATTATTGATTTCCATTTAAAACAAGGAATAGGAATAATACATTTGAATACACATTACTATTTGTTAGATTTCTGTTTCGAGCATAAAATCCAGACGAAAGCGGCCATTCCACTTTTTATTAAAACACATATAAATTTTATTACATTTGTACAACATAATTACAACCATACTTATTACACACGAACTTCCATATTAGTATTAAGCTTAACACATTATCTCTTCCAATATTTATGACATGTTACCGAATAACTCCAGAGACAGGACGTTTCGAGCGCCAGCCAACGGCGGGCACTATCAATTCATGACAAATTGCAACTGTTATTGTAATATTTTATATATTATTACATATTCTTGCTTTCATTTGTTGTCAGATAAAGTTTAACTGGGTAGACGGACAGTTTCTTCATATGAATGTGGACTAAATTTAAAGTCAGTATCTTGAAATATATTTTTTATCATTTTATTTAATTAAAATTTTATTTTTAATGTCGATGCGGAAATTTTTTTAATTCTACCGTACTTTTCGCATGAGAAGAAATTTTAGATGTAATTGATTATTATATTTTAAATTTTATTTTGAAGATGAGTTAATTTATATTGGAAATCTACAATTACCTATCTGCCACGCCGCTGAAAAATGACATCTTTAAGATCTGCCTATAGTAGTAGTAATGACCGTGCTGCCATCAGCTTTCTAAGGATTTGCTGCTTTGCCGTTGAAAAAAAGTAGTTACCCTGCTTGATGTCAGTTACGGACTTTTCTTGACAAGTCTATGGCTTTTTATATCCCCAGTTCCTATGATATATACGCTTTTCTCATGCCAAGTAGACCAAGACGGCTGAAGTTCCAGTACCAACCAACGTCAAATGCCAACAACTGGATCAAGCACATAATTTCTGAGAACTTTTTTTTTAATGGCCGAGCGTTTTATTTAATAGCCATTAGCCTTGCGCCACAACAAGAGCCTGACGTAGTTTCCATTTCGTTATGGAAGCATCTATGAAGGGACAGACGGTTACAACTATGCCCTCTTCGGGATTCGAACCCCAGCCCACTGCTACGGCAGGTCAGGGTCAGGTTTTTGAAAACTATGTTGAGCAATATGTTATATTACAAACTCTGGTGACGAACTCTTGAAGGTTTAAAATCTTCGACACATTTAATCTTGGACACTTATTGTAATTTCTTATTCATTTTAAAAGCTTATGAGTACTATTGTAGGTCTTTATAATTTATTTTAAAATTAGAAAAAAATTTAAATAAATGCACTTATTGAACCCGTCAAGCTGGAAATCCTTTAAGTATCCTTATAACGGGATGGCGGATGTTAAGTATCGCTATCTGCTGTATGTTAATCGAATGGCCAATAATAGATACACGGGCATTGTAAGGGAACATTTATATGAGGTTTTTTTATACTAAAAGTAATTATAATTAATGCAGAACTTTGAGAAAAATTCTCTAAAGCAATATAGTGTCGTAAGATGAAAATCAAAGTCATAATTTTCAACAGTTATACTCCGCAAGATTCAGACCGGAGTTTTCTGACTGTTAGAATTGTTAGTTAAAGTAAAATGCGACTACTGATTGATGGAAGCTTTATCAACAAATGGACTAAAAACTACAAAAAATAGGAAAATATATTTCACAATAAAACATTAATCATATTACATCCTACTTTAATAATTTATTTAATAATGAAATCAGATCAAAGAAAGAATAAAAAGTTTCTATATTTATTGCAAGTTACCTTTCCAGCCTATTACTAAAAGAATTAACTTCTTCTTAGGACCATAGGAAGAAAAGTAGTAATCTGAAGAAGAGTTAACTTAATATTTAAAAAGAAAATAAAAACACATACAATTTTAAAGTATAAATACTTCCTTTTTACTTCGTACAAGGAAGTAAAAAGCATGAAAATACTTTACCTTTTTAACTTCCTTGTACGAAGTAAAGGAAGTATTGTAATCGCGAAAAATTTCGGGTATTATATTTCAACGGAAATATCCATTTCAATCGCTGTCGAATGCAATTTGACGATGTTTTTCAGTGATATCTGTACGTAAGGGCAGAATAAAGAACACTTTTTTCCCAAACGAATTGTAAAATAAAATCAGAAGTGATTTTTTTCGTGACGTCTGTACGTACGTTATATATCTCGCATAACTCAAAAACGAGTAGTCCTCGTTACAATTTTGTATATAGGACTGCTATAATATATATAGTTGTGCACCTCCCGTTTTGGTTGCAGTGGGACTCAACAAAAGTATATACGTATATACCCGCTTTGTTACTCGGCTCGGTGAACTCAGTTTTTTTATACTTATATGTTGGTAAATTGTGAATTGTTTGCTTAAAAATGATTGAATTACGTTGCTCTTATCTTCTGTTTAATGTTTTAGTGCCTTCAGTTAATCTGCATACAATAGTTGTAGAATTATCAAGAATTTAAAAGTTGTTTAAGTGTGGCTAGGCTAAGCTTCATGAAGCAGCCATATTTGTTTTCATTTGAAACTTAGCAGAATAGTGAATAAAGTCAGTTTTTGGACTTTCAGTGTCTTTTTGCCGAGTGGGACCAAAAATAAACTTTCAGTTTTGTACACCGAAAAATCTGCCTTCTTGTCCACAGGTCGGATTGCTTGTTTTTGCGTAGGAACTCTAATTTTAATTACAAAAATTTGTCTTTTAATTGTTTTAACTATATGGGGTGTTTTATGTTTTTCTATATTTTTCAAATTTAATGAAGATATTTTCATGTATTTTTGCCTTACCGCGAAATGAGACCTGAGTTAATTGAATGAGAAAATAAGTTTAAATTCGCGGAAATAAGTGAAATGCAGCAGAAAATGCTGATAATTTAATAGACCGTACAAGGAAGTCATTTGGCATCCACATCAGATTATTTTCTTAAATTAAAATAATATCATGTATAGTCAATTCATTAAATAACACCGTTTCATCTAATGCGCTGAAACGTGAAAGTTAAGCGATCATCATCAATCATCAAATGAAAGTTTTTTGTGCAAAGTCAGAAGAACTCTGTAGTGACACTTGATAAACAAGATTCGGATTATTAAACTAATTCAAATTGATTTTGATGTGAAATATATTAACCTGATGTTTCATTTGGTATGCTAAATTTTATGATTTTTGACTAATTTTACTTTGCTATTTTATTAAAATTTTAAATCGATAAAATTCTGGGTAGGAAAGAAAAGCTTTGATAGATCACATGATAAAAATAAAAATTGGTAATTAATGGCATGCAGTCTAGTGAACAAACACACATGACTAAAAATGATTTTATGGGCTGCTACATACAAATTGCATTAGCCGACAAAAGTATTCTAAGGTTAAATTAGTCAGGTTAAAAAAAAAAAAAAAAAAAACTCGTCGGCTACTACCTATCGAAAAAGATGCCTTTTTGAAGGGCTTTTGAGGAAAGGCAGGTTGGTATTGACGTAACACATGAGAAAAACAACAAAAATCTTATTCAGTCAAGCCTGTCTGCCAGAATTTGAACTCGGGTCGAACTACCAGTTTTCAGTGATTCCAGTTATTTCGGAATGATTTTGGCATAATACCCGCTACCGTAAAATTTAAATAATGTGCAAAATTAGGAGAAAATGCATGATAGACGTTAAGGAAAAATATAAGAGGACGTAACATGATTTAAGAAAGTTCAAAAAGAAAAGAGAGACTTTTCAGTGTATTAAAAGTTTTGAAAAATGAATAGTTAGGAAGAATAATAAAGCAGAAAACTCCATGCTGTGAATAAATCGTTTACTGATTATTTACAATGAAAATCTTGGGAGGGGAAAGTTTGAGATAATTCAGCTTCGAATTTCTACAAATATATCTTATTTTTATACATAAATCTAGAAGCAAGAAGGACAATTTATAGACAATATATTTTGACTTCTGAAATCTGTTATTTGTATTTGCTATCGATTATTGCAGAAAATATTAAAATAGCCTTTTTATTTCCTTGTCAGAAATAAAGGAAGTATTGGTAACCGCGAAAAATTTCGGGTGTCATAATATATTCGGGTGTTTAATATGTAATTTAATATATAATTGGTTATTTAATATATAATCGATTATTTAATATATAATCGGGTGTTTAATATATAATATTATCATATTATCATATTTAATTATTTCAACGGAAATATCTATTTTGACCGTTCCCGAATGAATTTGACCTTCAACTGTGACTTTTTTTATTGAAATTACTTTTTTCCATAAAAAGCAAGCTATTTCTTTAAAATGGGTGGTGTTACAGGATTTAAAAATCAGTTTCTTAATAAAGAGGTTTTAAATTACATAGAAAATACAGAATTAGTATCAATTCTGTTAGTATTTTATTTCATAACAATTAATCGAAGTTCTTGTGTTTCTCCCCTTAAAATTAAAAAAATAAATAAATAAATAAAAAATCAGAGCGAGTGGGGGGGGGATATTGCCCATTAATCAAGTTTTTATTTTTTTGCAGTGTAACTGGTTCCATAACTTTATTTTAACCATGAAAATGAAAAGGAACATAATTACATTTTTTGGGGTGTTGAAAAAACTTTTCCTCGAGAAGCATCATTAAAATGCATTCACGGGCAAAATATTGAAAAATATTTCGAATCAAGGAAGATTTTTGAAAAAATTAGATAGACAGAAGCGATAAAAACCATTGAAATAAAACTGGCTGCTTTCTGTTTAGAAGCTTGTTGCAGATAGGTGTGTTTGGAATAATTGCATGTTAAAGCTGAAAACTAGTAATGTTAAGAACATCAGATTAACTTACTGACAGCCTCGATCACATCTGCTAGTAGGACGCCATCGCACACGTCTACTTGGAGGTCTTGTATATTACGCTTGTAACGACCTCTGTCGAGGTAATGATTGGCCCAATCCGTATAGATCTAGAATAAAAGAAAACGAAAATTTCAGCAAAATAAAACATGAGCGCATGCACTTTTCTTTTAAATATGAAACTGTAAGGTTATACAAAGTATAACTATTTAAGAGCTGAAGTGTTTATTTTAATGAACACGTTATTCCTTATGCTGAATTTTCCTTCACTTCTATTGTTTCGCCTACTCCACCAGAATAGGAACATGAAGTGAGTTTTAAAAGACGAATGAGAATCTAAATTTAGGAGGAAGAGTTAGACCACAGACTAACCAGAACGAAATTCTTCAGTTACAGCTAGGCTTTTGGCCTCCCAAAATCCCTAAATTCTACAAATTTTGCTGCTCTTTAATTCTGACGCCCTGTGCAGCTGCACCTGTTGCACATGCTCTGGCGCCAGCCCTGGTTAAATGGCTGCACTTATGGGCTGCTGTTATCAGCTGCCCGCTGCAGCTACCAGTGTTTGTCACTAAAAATTAAGTTATTAGTTGTAGGAGAGTGGAGCTAAGTTGTTCGATTATAAGGCGTTTCTTCCGCTTTCTTATTATGTCTTTGTGGTATAGTAGTCAGCACACTCGGCGCGTATTCGAGAGGTTCGTGGTTCGAGTCCCGGGGAGGGCATTGCTCATTTTTCATCTCTAATGCTCCCAAATAACCTAATGTCTATTATTTATAACGTTAACCTTTGACTTTAAATATTTTGGAGCATTGCTGTATATCTAACTCGTAAACAGTGGAAGGTATTTTTTTTTTAAATTTGTTTAGCCGCTAAAATTTAAGAATAAAGAGCAAGCAAACATTTTGGGTTCTTTTTATATTATTTAATTACTTAATATATTCTAGAGATAAGAAATAAAGGAAAAATAAAACTAAATAAAATAAAGATTAAAAAATAAGAATGCTTCCGAATTCTGAAAGATTAGGCTAGTGTTTAGATTGAACCAAATAATGTTTAGCCAGTTTAGAATGATAAGAAAACAGCATAATTTGATAAAAATGTTCTTTAATTTGTAACGGAATGTAGTACAGTCAAACAAACTCTAACGATCTTCAAAAGACTATCGACTTCGTTATATCTGGAGGTTCGTTGTATCTGATACGATAAGAAAACGTATAAAACTTGAATGATGAATGATGATAAAAATAGAGTACCACTGCCAGATTTACCAAGAAAGTAAATAATAAATCTAATTTTAGAAAAAAAAAATCATGTTAAGATTTTAAAAGGTATTTCTCCCACCTTCCTAGCGTGCCTTCATGGTGTAGTGGTTCTGCACGCTTGGCCGGTATCCAGAGGTCCGTGGTTCGATTCCCGGCGAAGGCGTTGCTAATTTTTCATCTCTTGTGCTTCCAAAAATACTAATGTCTCTATAGTGGCGCCCAAACTAAAAGGGTGTTGATGATTATTCTCCACGCATAGGATTTGGCGATTGGGTCCCCTAAAAACACCAGTCGCCCTTTAAAAGGGGGAATATATAAGGTATTTCTCCCACCTTCCTAGCGTGCCTTCGTGGTGCAGTGGTTCTGCACGCTGGGCTGGTATTCGGAGGTCCATGCTTGGATTCCCGACAAAGGCGGTTGCTAATTTCTCATCTCTCCGGCTTTTCCAATTAACCTAATGCTTCTAGAATTTAATTGAAATTCTAACTAAGCGCAGTTATTAGATTTCTTGTTTGTTCTTTCTCAGTCTCTCCAAAGCAAATATATTGTCCTTTCCGAAGCATTTGTTCACATATTGACAGATTACGGTTTTTGTTTAATGGCGAATCATTCCGGTAATTTGTTTTTGAACTACCATATGCTCCAGCTTTCTCAACGTTTTCCTCGTATCAAAACGTTTTTCCATCAGCAGAAATTGCAGAGTTTTGGCTTTTTCATATGGCACCATCTGTAAATTTGGATAAACTGTATGTTCAGCAGATGCCGATTTAGCTGCTTCTATTTTATATTTTTCAAATAATTCGTTTTATTTTCAGTGCAGAAGATTTATGTTGACAGCGGATGAATATTGACACGAAAGCAAAGGGAATGAAACAGAGAATATACATTCACCTTTTTGGTTCAACTGTAATATAAATCATATAGGATTTTATTTATTCTTATCCTTGTCCCTCTAGAGTTGGGTGTCACATCTATCTCTTACAACCTTTGTTTAGAACACAGAAAAAAGTGTGGTGGTGGGGGGAGAATTAACAAAAAATTAGGCAAAGGCGTCCTACTTTACGCATAAAAAACGTAGAATATGGATAGAATGTGAATACTGGTATCTTGAACGAATGATTTTAAAAGCTAGTAATTGTTTTCGTTGAAACTTGCAGAAAATCTGGGTTAAATATGAAAAATACAAAAATAAAGTTCCATTCGAAGATATCCATGTAGTTCTTTATATCCGATTTTCATACTCTTGGGAGTTCGAGACCAAAAGGTTCTTTATACCAGGGATCTCGTTTTGAGCATGTTCGGTATAGTGGGATTTGACTGTAAATATGTATGTTTAATGAATTAACGTGCTTCTGTAGAGCAATGGACAGCAAATTAATATGGTAATCCCAAGGTCGAATTTCGTGTTCGTACAAAGGCACGAATATATTGTTGTCAACAATCGAGGAATTTAAAAGCGTTTAAAACCCTTCACAATAGTTTAAAAATTTAATTTGCTTTTAATGATATAATTACTTATTATAAATAAAAATTAAATTAATTTACAATTTTTATTCAGCATCACTGCAATTAATAAAAGATGTTTTAAACGCCATACGTAATGTAAATGGTATAGCAATTTGAAAAAAAATTACAATGTTTTGCAATTTGTAATTTCTTAAACAGTTTTTGAATATTAAAAAGGATTTGAATAATACCCTATTTATTGAGATGTCACGATTTACATATTTTAATTTTTCTTTTTTTATATGTTTCATTTTTTTTTAAGAAAAAGTATAATGAATTTAATAGGTGTAAACCATAGTAAAATTTATTAGGATTCTCGAAGAAGTAGATTCTCGAAAAATCAGTCTGCTTTTGTGGTAATTTGAGCTATGAATTTTTCAGGGTGATCTAGCTGCACGAGCGTACATACGCGAATACAATAATTCCTTTATATGCTCCTCTTACGTAAATGACAACTATGAGAGAGACAAGAGATCCAGTTGAGCAATTCCAAGCGACTACGTCTTGTTGTTATGCCTAATCTCACTTCCCTATCTCAGTGACATCAGAACAAGACTACGAAATTCATCACGGCAAGGTGTGCAAGAGTACTCCTGTCCTTGGCAAAGCCTTGAGTACCTTACAGTTGACAGTACAACTTCGCTCAGATCCCCCCCCCGAGTTTTGATTGAAGGACAGCATCCCCGGGGAGACAGGTCCGAGGGTCTCCCACCCCTCTTCTCCTAACACCAACCTCTCGAGAGGACTTTCGGCTAGCCGCATATTTAGTGTGCCCCCATGTCACACAGTATCTATGCGTTTACAAACATCCATGCCTTCTCCTGGATTCGAACCCGGGCCCTTTGGTATCACAGTAGGTTCCCCTAACCACTACAGTAGTACAGTAGGCTTCCCTAACCCTCCTCTGAACGGCAAGTGATGACGTGTTGTCATCCACCATATTTTAGTTTCGCCACTGCAGAGACTGTTGCACACTTCGAAATAGGAAAAATCAGAAATCAACTGTGCCCTTCACGGGTTCGAAACATGTATCGTTTAATACCAGCTGGAGATGCAATTATGTAAACCACGACAGAGTAGCCGAGGTAATGCCATAATTCCTTATAATTTAACTTTCAGTTTGACAAGTTAAAATTCAAATCTATTTCGGCACTAATTTCAAAGGAATCGTTAATAAAAAATTTCTTTAACTTCATTGGAAGCATTCATTTTTATTGAAACAGATAGAAAAAGCTTATTCTTTTAACACTAGGAATTTCAGCGAATTACTAAATTCACCACTTAAAGGACCACTTAACTAATAACCTTTCTGTGAAGCACCAACGAAACTCTGATGGAAATCCTTAGTTTACGTACGAACAGTTGCACATGTACGAGCTTACGAATTAGCGAGGCGTAATAGCTGTCAAAACTTGAGTAATGAACAACTCCAAAACACGAGTATTAGGGATTTCTGGAGAGGAGATGGAGAGAGCAGAAGAGAAGGAATGAAAAAAAAGGATTCTTCCATGCAAGAATTAATGAGTCGTAGAAGAAACCACCTCTTGCAGTGAAGTCCAAACACAACACAAAACTGTTCACTGAAACGTAAGAGAGAATGGAAGATTAATGTTCTCTCTTCTTTAGGCAGCACGCAATCGCTCCGCTTTAAAAGAACATTTTTCGGCAAGCGGGCTTAACTAATTATGTATTTTGTTCGAAAAGGAAAACATTATGTTCCAGCAGCCCTCACCAAATGATGAAAGTATGAATGAAAAGGGATAATATGATCCTTCGATCTCGATGCATTTCAGTAATGCATAATCTCAGGAGACACATGCAAGTTCAGAGAATTCATGTACGAAACTAGCAGAAGTACTTTATTTAAATATACGGTAGGGATAAAGTGGTTCGATCTTCTTACTTGAGACTTCGTGAAAACTTTAGCGCTAATAAAGGACATGTTAGGAAATATTAGAAAACAGAAACAAGGATTTTTATAATAACTATAGTTCAAAGAAATTTACAAGCATTATATCTCTTGTCATGATTATGAGTACAAAACATTAATAAAATACAATTTCATATTCAATGGGGCAAAAAGAATAGCACAGTAAAAATTCTGTAATTAATTTATTAAGCCGAAAAATTTAATTCTGGAACTACAATTATGCAAATTTCATCTGGCAACGGCAAACTTCCGGATACGAAATCGCCACTAGAGGCACTGTTAATCAAAATTACGCCGTTTATGCAACAGAAGCGTACTGTGTTTTGAAATACATCAAAACATCATCGTTTATTGTCGTTCAAAGACATTTTCTCGCGAAATTGTCTAAAGAACCATCGCATCGTCACAACAGGT